TGCTGCTCTAACTCCCTGACCTCCCTCCTCCCTAACCTCTCACCCCCCTCGGTGGTTTCCCATGCTCCTCCAATTGACTCAATTAAGCGAACAGACAAATGCCGTATGCTGAAAGATGTTTTTTTTTTTTTTTGTTCTCGACTCTGCGTCGAACAATGGTGCAGCTGCAAACACCGACGCAGAAATCAGTTTTTGGGGAAGTGTGGACGGAGACAGGGGAGAAATGAAAAATCTGAGCAGGACAAGAAACAAACAGAGGGAGGAGAGGGAGGAGAGAGAGAGAGAGAGAGAGAGAGAGAGAGAGAGAGAGGGGGTGCAGATACACTGAAAGGAGAGGAGGAGGAGGAGGAGGAGGAGGAGGGAGTCCACATCAGAAGTTAAAGTTTTTACCTCCTTTTGTTTCCTCTACAATAAAGTCTCCGACATGTTTTGCCAACAACGAAACGTTTGGCGGAGACGAACGCAGCGACCAGGACGTCGCCCAAAAAAAAAAAAAAAAAAAAAGACGGCCGGCATTCTTGTGCTTTTGTACTTGTGTGGACTCCTCGTGAAAGAGAGCAAACAGAGAACAAAGGGGGGGCTGTGTGGACGGAGGCAATATCACTGACATCCCCGGCACTTTGAACAACTTGTCAGCACAGACACTGAAGCCTCTGCGTTCTGTCACATTTGTGTACCAACCCCTTTGAAAGGCCTTGCTGACCGGCCCATATCCCTTTATTGGGGTTCAAATGGCAAGAGGCGGCCATTGTGTCGGAGAGAGTTCATTAAATTCATTGGTTTGACCTGTTATTCCTCGGCCAAAAGTCCGCTGATTTGGAGGAAAAATGTGAGTCGGCCGTACGCAATAGCCCAGTGACCCCGGCGGGGTAACAAACGCTTTTGAAGAGGGTTTCAAAGCTGCGGTGTGAATGGGCTGAAAAGGCCAAGTTTGAGACATATCTGTGGCAGAACCAATGGATTCACATCAAAAGGGAATTTGAAATCATCCAAAGATATTTAGACGCCTCTAATGGCTGCGAGTGGAGCGGAGCCAAACCATCTCTCAGCCGTCAGTGTGAAAGTGTGTGT